TCTAATAAAAAATATGCATGAGTTTTAGATAAAATTACATGACTTAAATAGGAAATTCTACTACACTCATATAGAGAAAGAGTTAATATTATAAATATGTAATTGTACCAAATTGTTCTATAAATTCAATACAATATCAGCCAAAATACTCAAATGTTTTCATGGAAAAAATACCTAAGCAGCAGGGACAACGGTATTAAAAAAAAAAAAAATAGAAGGACATACCCTATCAGACATTTACTACTATAAATGTAGTCATAACCCAAGTTAGGTGCTGCTCCTACAATGCCTGGAACAAAATAGAGCCCCCAGCAACAAACAAACAAAAAAAAAAAAGAAAGAAAACAAAAGAAAATGGCCCCACATATTTATATACAAGAGATGATACTGAAGATTAATGTAGAAAGAAGGCATCAATTAATGGTACAGGACATTTTCATTATCCATTTTTTTTAATATTGAATTAGATTCTACTCACAATATATCTAATAAAGTTTTATACCCAATAGTTCAGAGATCAAAATATGAATAAGCAAAGTTACAGATCTCTCAAAAAAAATAAGACGACATTTTGTGATCTCTGTGTTAGAAAGGATAAAGCACCAAGGCATGAACCATAAAGTAGAACATTTAAAAATATAACATATTAAGATCTTAAAATTCTGTTCAAAATATACCACAGAAAATTACAATGTGAATAATAACAAACTAGGTGAAGTTATCACACAAATAACAAACGTAAAGGATATAGGGAAAAATTCTACAAATCAATATTACAACTACAGGACAACCAAAAACAAATGGAAAGATACAAGACTCTTCAGGGCAACACTGTTTGAAAAATCAAACCCACGGTGGCTTTTGACAGCAGGCTGGCTAAACGAAAAATGGCACATTCACACAGTGTAGAACTATGTATATATGAAAATAAAGAACTAGAGTTTGGAGGAATTTCAAACAAATGGTGTCAAACAGGTTTGCCAACTAGGATCCTATTCACAAAAAAACTTTTAACACATGCTAAATTAGTGCTAAATGAGTATGAGTATGTGTATATATACATGTATATATATACATGGTTTTATAATTCGAATATAGATACACTTACTAAGCAGTCTTCAAATATATTTTATTTTATTTATTTATTTATTTTTATTAGAGACAGAGTCTCACTCTGTCTCCCTCGGTAGTGTGCCATGGCATCACAGCTCACAGCAACCTCCAGCTCTTGGGCCTAGGCCATTCTCTTGTCTCAGCCTCCTAAGTAGGTGGGACTACAGGCACCCGCCACAATGCCCAGCTATTTTTTTGTTGCAGTTCGGCTGGCAGCAGGTTCGAACCCATCACCCTCAGTATATGGGGCCAGAGTCCTACTCACTGAGCCACAGGCACCTCCCTTCAAATATATTTTAAATGTATGGATATATAATGTGTAATGTGCAATGTAACATTATATAATACACATTAATCTGTGCATATACTATAATATATACTATTATAAAACATATAAGAACGGTTGGGTAGAGATACCACAGGAAAGGAAAATCCAAGAATTTAGTAATGTTTCATTTCTTCACCTAGATGGTAAGCACATGGGTATTCACTGTGTTACCCAATAAACCTATTCATAGGTCTTAAATATGTAATATTTCAAGGAGATACAGTATTAAAGAATAGAACACAGAAATATTTTTATTCTAGAAGTTAGAGAAGGCTCTCTGATGCAAGATGCAAGT